GATGAGTATGTTGTTAGCTGTAACTCTGTCATCAGTTCAGTTCAGTCACTCAGTCATGTCCGGTTCTTTGTGACCCCATGGATTGCAGCACACCAGGCTTCCCTGTCCATCACCAACTCCTGGAGCCTACTCAAATTCATGTCCATCATGTCGGTGATGCCATCCAACCATCTCATCCTCTGTTGTCTCCTTCTCCTCCCACCCCCAATCCCTCCCAGCATCAGGGTCTNATATATAGCTTTAATGTTCTCCTTTCCCAATTTGGAACCAGTCTTTTGTTCCATGTCTGTTTCTAACTGTTGCTTCTTGACCTGCATATAGATTTCTCAGGAGGTAGGTAAGATGGTCTGGTATTCCTATCTCTCTATGAATTTTCCACAGTTTGTTGTGATCACACAGTCAAAGGCTTCAGCATAGTCAATGAAGCAGAAGTAGATATTTTCTGGAACTCTCTTGCTTTTTCTATGATCCAGCAGATGTTGGCAGTTTGACCTCTGGTTCCTCTGCCTATTCGAAACCCAGCTTGGACATCTGGAATTTCTCGGTTCACATACTGTTGAAGTCTAGCTTAGAGAATTTTGAGCATTTTACTCTGCTAGCATGTGAGATGAATGCAACTGTGTGGTAGTTTGAACATTCTTTGGCATTGCCTTTCTTAGGGATGGGAATGAAAACGGACCTTTTCCAGTCCTGTGGCCACTGCTGAGTTTTCTAGATTTGCTGGCATATTGAGTGCAGCACTTTCACAGCATCATCTTTTAGTATTTGAAATAGCTCAGCTGGAATTCCATCACCTCCAGTAGCTTTGTTCGTAGTGATGCCTGCTAAAGGCCACTTGACTTCACATTCCAGGATATCAGGCTCTAGGTGAGTGATCACACCATTGTGGTTATCTGGGTCATGAAGATCTTTTTTGTATAGTTCTTCTGTGTCATATATGGCCTTTATTATGTTGAGGTATGTCCCCTCTGGGCCTTCCAGGTGGTGCTAGTGGTAAAGAACATGTTGGCCAATGCAGGAGATGTAATAGACATGGGTTTGATCCCGGGGTCCCCTTGGAGGGGGCATGGCAAAGCACTCCAGTATTCTTGCTTGGAGGGTCCATGGACAGAGCAGCCTGGCAGGCTACAGTCCATAGGTCACAAAGGGTCAGATACAACTGAAGCGAGTTGCCATGCATGTACATGTGTGTTCTCTGTGCCTTTTTTGTGGAGTTTTTTTTTTTTTTCTTAATTGTTTTTAACTTTTTCAAAGGTTTTTTTTGAACTTTTTGGGATGATCATATGGTTTTTATTCTTCAATATATGATGTTATATACCACACTGATTGATGTGCCAGTATTGAAAAATCCTTGCATTTCTGGGGTAAATTTCACTTGATCATAGTGTATGATACTTTTAATGTATTGTTGGATTCAGTTTGCTAGTATTTTGTTTAGGATTTTTGCATCTATGTTTATCAGCGATATTGGCCTGTAATTTTCTTTTGTGGTATCCTTATTTGGTTTTATATCAGGGTGATGATGGTTTCATAGAATGAGTTTGGAAGTGCTCTTTCCTCTGCAATCTTTTGGAACAGTTTCAGAAGGATAGTGTTAACTCTTTTCTAAATATTTGATAGAATTCACCTGTGAAGCAGTCTGGCCCCAGACTTGGATTTATTCATTTCAGTCTCTCAGTCATGTCTGACTCTTTGTGACCCCATGGACTGCAGCACACCAGGCTTCCCTGTCCATCACAAACTCCTGGAGCTTGCTCAAACTCATTTGGTTTGTTGGGAGTTTTTAAATCACAGTTTCCATTTCAGTGGTTGTGATTGGTATGTTTGTATTTTCTATTTTCTTCTGTTTAGTCTTGGGAGATTGTAGTTTCTAAGAATTTGTCCATTTCTTCTAGGTTGTCCATTTTTTTGGCATGTAGTTGCTTGCAGTAGTCTCTTCTGATCCTTTGTATTTCTGTGGTGTCCATCGTAAATTCTTTTTCATTTCATATTTTATTTTATTCAAGCCCTCTCCCTTTTTTCCTTGCTGAGTCTGGTTAAAGATTTTTCAATTTTGTTTGCCTTTTCAAAGAGTCAGCTTTTAAGTTTCCTTGATCTTTTCTATTATTTTCTTTGTCTCTATTTCATTTATTTCTGCTCTGATCTTTATGATTTCTTTCCTTCTACTAACTCTGGGAATTTGTTTGTTCTTCTTTCTCTAGTTGTTTTAGGTGTAAGATTAGGTTGTTTGAGGTTCTTGTTTCCTGAGGTAAGACTGCATTGCTGTAACTTCCTTCTTAGAACTGCTTTTGCTGCATCCCATAGGTTTTGGATCATCATGCTTTTGTTTTCATTTGTCTCTATTTTTTCAGTTTTCTCTTTGATTTCTTCAGTGATCCATTGGTTGTATAAGAGCATATTGTTTGACTTCCACGTGTTAGTGTTTTTTTAGTTCTTTTTCCTTGTAGCTGATAATCTCATAATATAATCAGAGAAGATGGTTGATATGATTTCAGTTTTCCTAAATTTACCAAGGCTTGCTTTGTGGCCAAGCATGTAGTCAACCTGGAGAATGCTCCATGTGCACTTGAGAATGTGTGTTCTGCTGCTTTTGGATGGAATGCTCTGTAAACAAAAATAAGTCTACCTGGTCTAATTTGTCATTTAAGGCCTGTGTTTCCTAATTGATTTTTTGTATGGATGATCTGTCCACTGATGAAAGTGGGGTGTTAAAGTCCCTCATTATTACTTTGTCACTGTTGATTTCTCCTTTTCTGGCTGTTAGTATTTGCCTTATATATTGAGGTGCTCCTTTGTTGAGTGCATATCTACTTACAATTGTTATATTTTCTTCTTGGATTGATCTCTTGATCATTATGTAGTTCTCTTCTTTTGTCTCCTGTAACAGTCTTTAAAGTCCATTTTGTCTGATATGAGTAGTGCTACTCCAACTTTCCTTTGACTTCCATTTTCATGGAACCTTTTCCATCTTCTCACTTTCAGTTTGTATGTGTCCCTAGATCTGAAGTGGGTCTTGCACGTGTGTGTGCATGTGCATTCAGTCGTGTCTGATTCTCTGCAACCCTGTGGACTATAGCCTGTCAGGCTCCTCTGTCCATGGGATTTCCCAGGCAAGGATACTGGAGCGGGTTGCCATTTACTTCTCCAGGGGATCTTCCCACCCAAGGACTGAACCTGCATTTCTTGTGTCTCCTGTGTTTGTGGGTGTGTTCTTTATCAACTGAGCCACCTGGTAGACAGCATATATATGGGCCTTGTTTTTTGTAACCATTCATCCCATCTGCGTCTTTTGATTGCAGTATTTAATCTGTTTCTGTTTCAGGTAATTATCAATATGTATGTTCTTACTGCCATTTTGTTAATTGTTTTGGATTTATTTTTGTAATTCATTTTTCTTCCCTTCCTCTTTTGCTTTGTGATTTGATGACTACCTTTAGAGTTGTGTTTGGATTCCTTTCTCTTTATTTGTGTGTATCTATTGTAGATTTTCAGTTTGTGGGTCCCATGAGGTTTTGATATAGCAATCTACATGTGTACACACACATACATATAAAAGATTAAGTTGCTGGTTTCTTAATTTCACATGCATTTCCAGTGTCCTGCATTTGTGCTCACCTTTTCTCAAGATTGCTGGTTTTGATGTCATATTTGTGCATGGGATGATTTCCTACCTTCATAGTTTTGTTTCTAGTTGTGGCCTTTTGTTTTTCACCTAGAGAAGTTCCTATAGCATTTGTTGCAAAGCTGGTCTGGTGGTGTTGAATTCTCTTAGCTTTGGCTTGTCTGTCAAACTTTTGATTTCTCTGTTAAATCTGAATGAGAGTCTTGCTGAGTAGAGTATTTTTGGTTGTAGGTTCTTCCTTTTCATCACTGTAAATACATTGTACCACTTTCTTCTGGTCTCAGAGTTTCTGCTGAAAAATCATGTGATAACCTTATGGGAATTCCCTTGTATGTTATTCGCTGTTTTCCTTCATTGCTTTTAGTATCTTTCCTTTGTCTTTAATTTTTGTCAAATTGATCACTATATGTCTTGGCATGTTCCTCCCTGGGTTTACCCCATAAGGAACTATCTGCCTTTCTGGGTCTTGAGTGACTCCTTTCCAATGTAAGGGAAGTTTTCAGCTATTATCTCTTCAAATATCTTCTCAGGTCCTTTCTCTTCCTTGGACCCGTTATACAAATGTTGGCACAATTAATGTTATTCCAGAGGTCTCTTACACTGTCCTCATTTCTCTTCATTCTTTTTTTTAAAATTCTATTCCATGACAGTGATTCCCACCATCCTGTCTTCCAGCTCACTTATGCATTCTTCTGCCTGTTATTCTGCTATTGATTTCTTCTAGTGGATTTTTCATTTCAGTTAGTGTACTGTTCACCTCTGTTTGTTCTTTAGTTCTAGGTCTTTGTTAAACATTTATCTTCTTGATCTATGCCTCCATTCTTTTTCCAAGCTCTTGGATCCTCTTTATTGTCATTATTCTGAATTCTTTTTAGGGCAGATGGCCTGTCTCCACTTCATTTAGTTGTCTTTCTGAGGCTTTATCTTGTTCCTTCATTTGGGACCTATTCCTTGGCTGTCTTTTTTTGTCTAACTTTCTGTGATTGTGGTTTACATTCTGAAGGCTGCAGGTTGTAATTCTTCTGCTGTCTTCACCTTGGTGGATGAGGCTGATCTAAGAGGCTTGTTCGAGCTTCTTGGTGGGAGGGACTGGTTCCTGCCCGCTGGTGGGTAGAATGGGTCTTGTCATTCTGGGCAGGACCATGCCAAGAGGTGTGTTTATCAGGCAGCTGTNCTGGGATTCACCTCAGAGATTGCGTTTTAATCAGTCTGGGTCACAACTTGGTGAAGAGATTTTAAAATCCTCCAGAGGACTGTAATGCATAGTTAAGTTTGAGAATCCCTGCTTTAAAGCCGCTCAGTCAAAAAGGGCTGTTATCTGAGCAACACCTCCCCGCAGCAGAGCCAGCCCAGATGAGGCTAAGCGTGCTACACTTACCTACAGTACTTGAGAGGAGTCCCCGAGAACTCACTGCCATCAGACTCAGGTTCAGATCGGTTCTCAAAGTCAGAAATTCGGAATACAGACAAGCTGGCATTCACGTAGCCAACCATGCACCTAAAAATGAAAACAGATGCTGTAATTAGATTCTGATCACCTTTGCATCCAATCCACCAAGGGTCTACTTGCTAGAAATTCCTGCAGTTATAGGTGTCTTACCTGACCCTGTCTTGTCACAGCACTCAAGTTGGAATACACTGAAAAAGCCTGGCTGTGTTAAATAAGAAACAAGTCATTTCTTTTTTTCTGGTCCTTTTTGTGCAGAATCATCATATAGAACAGCATTACCCCAATCAATACTTCAGTGAAACGGTGAAAGCATTGCATAATCAGTACAAATTAGGTCACGGCTTCTTTCATAAATATACACATACATGTAAACATAATTACATTCCTTCATTACTGGTTGTCTATACTTTCTTATGTGGGGTTTCCCAGGTGCCTCAGTAGGTAAAGAACCTCCCTGCAATCCAAGAGACGCCAGAGATATGGGTTCGATTCCTGGGTCAGGAAGATCCCCTGGAGGAGGGCATGACTACCCACTCCAGTATTCTTGCCTGGAGAATCTCATGGACAGAGGAGCCCGGTGGGCTACAGTCCATAGATCACAAAGAGTTGGACATGACTGAAGTGAATGAGCAAAGCACATACTTTCTTATAATGACCTGAATATAATTGGTATGGATATGACACCCCCTCCCCAATTCATCCATGCCACAATCATGCTAGATTATGTTTCCTTCATGTATCATATGCTTCCATGCCTCTGCTTATGTTGGGATTCCTTACTCATTTTGTACAAGTGGTAACACTGTCCATCCTCCGATGGCCAGCTGAGATGCCATCTCTTGTGTGAAGATGTCCTAATATGCCTAGTCAGAAGCTTCATTCCCTTCTCTCTGTGGTGCTGCTGTATTTACTTCATAATGGCCATATAGCTTATCCTAGAGTTGACTGCATACATGTATGTCTTCTCCTTTGGACTGTAGTGTTTTTTATTTTTGGATCAAAAGAGCTATCATCAATACATTGGTATCCTAGGATAGTCTCATGCAGTGTAGGAATCCAGTAAATATTGAATGTAATGGATTTGATTGGAGAGGACCTAAAGTATCAGGGGTTCTGTCAAGGTCTGGAAGATGGATCAGGAATAAAATTATTACCTAGGATTATAAGCTTCTTGAGGACATGGCTTTCAGCCTGTGCTGGGGGTTCAGTATATTATAGTACAAGAAACTTGGGCTTTAGGGTCATATATTGTAGCTTTGCTGCTTTCTAGCCATATCATATTGACAAATTATGCAACTTCTTTAAAGCAACAAACATCCCACCTCACAGGGTCATTGTGGGAATAAAATGATATTCATAAACCATATCTGCCTGTGTACTGCTTATATACTCTGATATACTGCTTAGCATATAGCAAGATCTTAATAAACCTGAGTGGCTATTATTCATTTTATTGCATTCACCTAGCAAGAGGTCAACAAATAATTATCAATTGAAAGAATAAATAATGGTTTTCAGACTCTTTTCATTAGTATGTCTGATGTGATTATTCAAAGTGGCTGAATATCAGACCCAAGTGATGACACAGATACAGTTCTGAGAGCACATGGGTTCTGTATGTGTGTTGTCTTGCTTAAGAAAAGGCTGGACTTAGGTGAACCGAGCAGAAGGGCTCATTTGTCAAGTCACTCATGAGTGAAAGTACTGCTGAGAGTGTGTGTAACATGCCCTTATCCCACTGGCAGCAGGCGTCCCCCATCACTCCTTAAAAGGGTAATTTGAAATGATTTCTCCTTCTCATATATGAACTGCCTAGAACATGACATGAAAACAAATCAGTGTCTTGATGATAATTAGTTGTCAGAGAGGGGGCTGGTTTTGTGAAATACGGAGCAGAGTCTTCTCAGGAGCTGGGCTGTGGGAAGGGAAAGGTGCTCTGGAAACTGGCAAAAAACAGTTCATTGTTGAAATGGAATAATTATTTCCAGGCCCTCCTACACTCTTCTCTCATAATGCAGCCCTGAGCTTTACTGAGATTAAAGCTGTTGTCTAATGGCTGCTGTTGAAAAAACCTCAATTGAGAACTTACATTCAAATGAAATACCTGTCTCATGGTCTGAACACCTTAAAGCCTCAAAATAAAAGGGGTATGTCACTGAACTGTTTATTAAGCATATTCATTTGATGTCACTCATAAATCAAGCTGAAAATGTGCCTTTAGTGGGCGTGTACTCCCTCTGGGTCCAACACGTTACATGTGAAACTAGTACATATATACATATTGTCAACTGTGTCAGTCTTTCCTCCATGCTATTTTCATAACCAGAGGAGGAGGAGGACTGTGAATGCTGGACTGTCTCGGCATTTCTCTGTCTCCACCGTGGGAGAATCTGGGCTTGCCAACATCACACAGTTGGGACCGTCATCAATTCAGGGAGGTGAGGTTTCCCACGCCTCACTGTACGGTGTGCTTCGATCCCAGTGGCATCCACGTGTCAGCCCAGCGGCCTCCTGTTACAGCAGGAAGGCCCCAGGCAGCGGCAGATCCCGTGTCTGCTATTCCACTCGCTGCCAGGTGGTCTGAGGACCCTCCGTGTGACACAGCCCCAGCTCCCAGTGAGACACAGCGAAGATGAGGCTACACTGATGATCAGGGAGAAGTGAGAGGAACGGAGAAAAAGGTATCAAAGGAGGTGTTTCCTGGGAACATAAAATAATAAATAATTTCCTTACGGGGCTGGCAGGTAGTCTCCGCAGGCATTTCTAAGAAAGGAGATTCAGAAAAACATCTTATGAAAAGGCAGCATTGTTTGAATTAGAATGCATACCTTGTCCAAGTAACGCCTGAGAAGACATATTTAAATGTGAGAATTCTGGTTTTAACATTATTCATTATTTATTGCTTTCCATCCTTTACTATGGGGGAAAAGGATGAACTAGAGATGATTATTATACCTGGCTTCCCTGATAGCTCAGACAGTAAAGAATCTACCTGTCAGGCAGGAGACCTGGGTTCAATCCCTGGATCGGGAAGATCCCCTGGAGAAGGGAATGGCAACCCACTCCAGTATTCTTGCCTGGAGAATTCCATGGGCAGAGAATCCTGGCAGGCTACAGTCCATGGGGTCGCAAAGAATCGGACACGCCTGAGCGACTAACACACACACTCATAGTTATACTTGCTATAACTGTTATCTGGGAGAGAACAGAATGAGAAGCTGACTTTTGAATCTGTTGATTCCAGGTCAGACTCACTGCAGAGCATCTTTGAATTCTGCTAAAGTAAATTTGCTTTTGAGGTTTTAGGCATTGTGACTCACAAAGCGTGGGGTGACAGGGCAAAAAAATCCAGGGGAAATGAGATCAGGTCATTTTAAGTCAGACATGTTTTTTAGATGACTATAAAAAATAACTTAAGCAACTAACACTTTCACTTAACCATCAGCTTTATCTTTTGAAATACAACTTTGAAACTAATTATGATGTTGATCTATTTAATTGATTTATAGTTTATAAATATAGTTCATTCAGATATTCATAACCCATTCTGTGAAAATTTGAGCAGTGTCCTTGATCAAGTCTGTAACTCCTTATGAGATCACTATTTCTACAGGAAAATTACCTTGATTTTATTTATCACTACATCATGTACACCAGGTATATACCTCACAGTAATTCTTGGGCCTGCATATATCCTTAGAGAATGTTGCCAAACTGTAAGAGAATGTTCCCAAACTGTAATCTATGTCTATCTGATACCAAAGTAATTAGTTTGATGCATTCATTGAGGGTAAGGGATCAAACTGATAAAATTGGTTACTTGTGCTTTCTGGGAAAAAAGTTTAGTTTGTTGATTGAAATTTTAACTCTGATTGGCAGGAATAATTTTATAATTTGCATCTTCAATTTTATTTCACAATTTCTGCCTCCTGATGTCTGCCCAGAGGTGATTTCAGCTATCTAAGCTCTTTTCTAAAGGGTCCCTGGGAAGATACCCTCAAAGAGGAAGTGACTTCATTTTATAAACAATAAACAGTCTGATCACAGGCAGCAGAGTGTCTTGAGAGGGAAGATGACAATGTCTGAAATACTCTTGTGTACCCACTGTGTGGGGACCATGCCTCAAACCACACTGTTCCAGGTCTGGCTGAAAATGAGACTATCCTCCCCATTGTGTCACTGAAGGCTTGTCCGCAGAGCGTCTGCGCTGGGGGAGAGACTAGTTGGAACACACGGCTAGGAATAACTGAAGCACGCTGTCATAGGGACAAGGGGCCTGTGAACTCAATGACCCTGGATGGAGGCTTGAGATTCTCATCCGTGGAGGAGCCAGGGAAGCCTGAAAGAAACCCGGAGGTTGGGAGAAAGGTGATGGGTCTGGTTGGAGTACTGTTGACTTGGGTCAATTTAAATTGAAATATGACATTTCTACAACTGGACTAAATCGTGAGTGGGATTTGACTCTGACTGCACACGCTACCCCAGAAGCCTATGACATCTAAAATTTGATAATGCTGCTCCTCAATGAGTTCAGTCATCTCTGAAGCATTTTTAAATTGGAAAAAGAAGAAACCTAAAAAGGATAATAGAGTAGCTGGTGGGGCAGAAAATAAGATTCATGGAGAAATATAGACAAATGTAACTACTTGAAAACAAGAAAAATGAACAAAGGAGTAGAAGATTAAAAAGTGGATGTATAAATATTGAAGGTGGCAAAGGTTAAGAGAAAGGTTGTTTTTAAAAAAAGGGACTGGAGAGCACAATAAAACTGAAATATAAGGAGGCTATTTAGATAAATTCTAATCACTATGAACCCTGTCTTAAATCTAACAGGCTGCCAAAAGTCTAAAGAACTGATTCACTATTAACTGTGCATAATATTCCTACTTTATTTTTTGGTTCCCTCTAGAATAAGACACGGAGAAGGCAATGGCACCCCACTCCAGTGCTCTCGCCTGGAAAATCCCATGGAGGGAGCAGCCTGGTGGGCTGCAGTCCACGGGGTCGCTAAGAGTCGGACACGACTGAGTGGCTTCACTTTCACTTTTCACCTTCATGCACTGGAGGAGGAAATGGCAGACCACTCCAGTGTTCTTGCCTGGAGAATCCCAGGGACGGGGGAGTCTGGTGGGCTGCCGTCCATGGGGTCGCACAGAGTCGGACACGACTGAAGTGACTTAGCAGCAGCAGCAGCAGAACAAGACAGGTTTCACAATATTTGAAATAAGGGAAGAATGGGAATAACCACTGGAATTTAAACCCCACAGAGTTGACTATTGATGAGTTGTATAATGGCTTATTGGCACAGGCCTTGAGAGCTGTGAGGTTTATGATGAGTCCTGCCTTATGATTCTGGATTTAATCTCTCAATCTCTTTCTGCTCTTCAAAATGAGGGTAATAATACATGTCCTCGCTCCCTGAATTGTTTTGAGAATCAAACCATACATGAATGTGGTTTGAATATAGGTAAGCTTTTCTAGGCTAAGTCAAGCATAAAATGTTGACAACAGTTACAGTTAGAAAGAAATGCATCCATAGCAACATAAGTTTTTAAATCTTTCTTTAAATGGGATGGTATGCTCACTTAAAGTTGCTACAGTGTATGTGTTTAACAACCACGTGGCTAGTGTAGTAATGAACTTTATTGAAATTTCCTCAAATAACTGGATTGTGAGCTGGACCTAGACTACACATGTATGAATTCAGCCGACTTCGTTTGGTGGCACTGTCCTCCTTGAGGGCTGGTGGAACTATAAGAGCTACAGATGATGAATTAATTTGGCTCAAACTAGTAAGCCAAGAGGCAGGGCTGCTTGTGTGAATAAGCAATAGCCCAAGTGAGATGATTTCTGGGGCACTGAAATGATCCTGTGACACCAACACACATTCTACTCTGACCTACAGACATTTAAACCCCACAATTAGATTATTTTGACATTAACCAAACAGGGTTGTTGTACTTTTTCCCATTGAAGTATGTTAGGACTTTTTATATCTTTTTTCCCAAGGATGTATTAATAGAAGTGAAAGCTAGGGGACATGTTATGACATTGTCAAGGCTTTATCTGACCTGAAATACAGCACTGGGGATCACTGAGGTGATGCTATAGAACTGACCTCTCAGGGAGTTAAGTTTACCCACTTTGCCTACGATAATATTGACACTGGTAAAGTCAAGAGCCAGGAAAGAAGCATTCAGTTACTTATTCCACAAGTATTTATTGAGTACTTTATGGGCACCTGGCACGTGGTTGAACATTTCTGCAAATATAAAATTTGCAGAGTCTACCTAATGACACAAGGGGAATCAAATAATATTTTTACAAACTCATAAAAATGGCATAACTATCATCAAGGAATACTTCTTTTTGCTACACAGCATACCACACATTTTTAAATTCATGGTGGGCAAGAGTGGGAAAAATGATTAATTGCTCTTCTCACATTTGATTCCATCTAAAACTCGTATGCTCTATATGAATCCCAGCCCTTCAGTAGAACAGGATGTTTTCTTTGGCCAAAAGTATTGTTATATTATAATCCCACCTCCCCCACAACAGGCCTTCTTGTCCTGGACTTGTGTCCCATGTACTCCAAAGCAGAGGCTTCTGTTTGGGTGTCCAGCTGTACACAATGGCTAGGGAATGGGGATTCCATGATGGTTTTATGGCAAACTTACTTTTGCCCAGCTTCTCCTTGGCCTGCACAAGGTCCATACTTATAAGCATATACCAAGCGAGGGATGAAGTCAGATGTGATCGCTATGACAAATGCATTTGTAATAACGGAGAGAATTCCAATGCCTTCAAGAATCCCATACCAAATTCCTATTCAAAGAGAAGTTTTAGTTAATTCCAGATACAACAGCAGAGGCAAATAAGTATGAAAACAACTGGGGTAACTAATTTTCAATAGTCCTTTCCATGGGTCCTTCCATCATTCCAAATACTGATACTTGCAACCAGAAGGAAGAATTTCTACTTGCAAACACCTTGGCACTGAAGGAGTTTGCACGCAAGTGCCAATGCTCATGACTTAAAACTCAATCAGCTTCAGACATAGGGAGAGAATTCTGGTTGATGATAAGGTAGCAAATGCTATCTGCTAAGACTGGCTGGCATATGCAGTGTCAAGCTGTCACCAGACTAGGAGATCCTCAGGGTAAGTATTGGATCCTTCCAGTTCATCTTTATGGACCAAGCTCCTGATGCATGACCCAAGGTAGGTGCTCAATGAATGTCTGTTTTCATCTGGAGGTTAAGAGACCACTGAGGTAACGTCCACACTGAATTCTCTTCCACACACACTGGCTGAGCACCTGCCAGGTCTATATGAAGCACTGAATGCAGAAATGAATAAAAGACGCTGGTTCAACTTAGCACCTCTAGTCAAAAACCAAAAGCCATCTCTGCCTCTAGAAAAATGGGACCATGTTCCTGTGACTCAGGCAGACATTTAGAAAAGAGCAAAACAAACTTAAGCAAATGCAAGATCTACTTTCAAAAGGAAGTGGTAATAAATCAAATTTTAAAATTCTAGCATCCTAGGATAGAACCAACCAAACTGAGAATCTATGTAAGCACAAATTCTCTAGCACTGGAAATTATAAATTTTCAAACAGGTAACTGTACTTGCTATCTAATGTTATTTAAAGCTAATATCATTATTATTTTGCAAGATTTAGTCATCTTACATGGAAACTATATGTAAATATCTAAAGTTAGTGGCTCTTTTAATTTTATCTACCAGACAATTAATATCTTTTAAAAACACCCCCAAATCCAACTTACCTATATCTTTGGCCCTTGAAGCTAAAGGTCGCCTCCACTGTGTGACAAATTTATAAGCGTCAAGTCGAATTTCAATTATATTATTCAGTAAGGCCAGAAGTGGTGCTAGGGGAAAAGCTGCCACAAAGATAGTTGTAAATCCAAACTGAAGAACTAGGAAAGGAAAAAGAACAGAGCATATTGGCTTTCAGTACTATTTTCAGAAGCTTAGTCTGAATATGCCACTGTTTTAACCCACGTGCTTGTGTTGGGCTAAGTCACTTCAGTCGTGTCCCACTCTCTGTGACCCCGTGGACTGTAGCCCACCAGGCTCCTCTGTCCATGGGATTTCCAAGGCAGGAATACTGAAATAGGCTGCCATTTCCTCCTCCAGGGGATCTTCCTGACCCAGGGATTGAACCTGCATCTCTTGAATCTCCTGCATTTGTCAGGTGGATTCTTTACCACTAGTGCCACCTGGGAAGCCCTATTTTCCCCCAAAGCACAGGGAACGTATCTTCCAGAATGATGGCCAGGACACTTGAAAAAGAGGTGCTCCCTGAGCCTGGAAGCAACGGCACCCTAGGAGCAGTAATCATACCTCAAGTCCAGATCTTGTTTTCTAAATACCAGTCCCTAGTAAAGGGAACCAGGGATCCTTGGAGAAATGATTGATTTCAGAGCTAAGGCAGGCAAAAGTCAAGATAAGAGTTTATTGTATGTGGCTAAAGTTATTTGTCCTATACCCAATCTGTCAAGGGTTCTTTTTTAATCATAGAAGAATGTTGAATTTTGCAAATTCTTTTCCTGCATTTATTGAGATATCATATGATTTTTATATGTCATCCTATTAATCTGATATATTACATTAAAATCTATATATGTTAAACCAGTCACGCATCACAGATAAATCCCACTTGGCTGTATTATACAATTGTTTTATTGTGTTCTTGAATTTGGTTTGCTAATATTTTGAGAATTTTTGCATCTATATTCATCAAGAATATTGGTCCAATGTTATCTTTTCTTGTGGTATCCCATTCTGGCTTTGGTATCAAGGTAATGCTGGCCTTGCAGAATGAGTTTGGGGGTGTTCCTTCCTCTTCAATTTTCTGTAAGTGTCTGAGAAGGATTTGTATTCTTTTAATGTCTGGTAGAATTCACCAGTGAAACTGTCTGGTCCTGTGGTTTTTCTGTGTTGGGAGACTTTTGATTACTGATTCTCTCTCTTTAATCATTATTGATCTTTTCAGATTTTCTGTTTTTTGCTGATTCGGTGTTGGTAGGTTGTGCATTTCTAGAAACTTATCTATTTCTTCTAGGTAATATCATATGGTATTCTTCTTTCTCTCTGACTTACTTTAGATATCCATGTTGCTGAAAGTGGCATTATTTCATTCTTTTTTATGGCTGAGTAGTATTCCACTGTATGTATGTATCACAACTTCTTTATCCATTCATTTGGCAATGAACATTTAGGTTGTTTCATGTCTTGCTATTATAGATAGTGCTTCTATGAACATAGGAGTATAGGTACCTTTTTGAATTCTAGTTTTGTCCCATTATATGCCCAGGAGTGGGATTACTGGATCATATAGCAACTCCATTTTTAATTTCTTGAGGAACTTCCATACTATTTTCCATAGTGGCTGCACTAATTTACATTCCAACCAATAGTGCAGGAGGGATTCCTTTTTCTCCATATACTCTCTAGTATTTATTATCTGTAGACTTTCTGATAATGGTCATTCTAATCCTCATGGTAGTTTTGATTTGCCTTTCTCTAATAATTAGAGAAAGGCAGGTGAGGTAGTCCTCTCTTGAAGAATTTTCCAGTTTGTTGTGATTCACACAGGCAAAGAAAAGCTTTGGTGTAGTCAATAAAGCAGAAGTAGATGTTTTTCTGGAACTCTCTTGCTTTTTATATGATCCAATGGATGTTGGCAATTTGATCTCAGGTTTCTAAATCAAAATGGCAGAGGAACCAGGTTTGGAAAATTCCCAGTTATTTTTTAAACTCTCTGCCCCCCACCCCTCGCTTTCTTCTGGTATACCAATTATTCTCAGATTTGTCTGATTGAATCTGATATTTCTCATAGTGTTTCTCTACTTTTTAAGAAGTCTAATTTCTGTCTTCTTTTGACCAAATTATTTCAATATTCCTGTCCTCCAGTCATTTTATTCTTTTTTCCATCTGGTCTGTCCTGTTACCTTCATCTCATTCATTGAATTCTTCAGCTCCAGAATTTGGTTCTCTTTTATAATTTCAATCTCTTTAGTAAAGGACTCTTTCTGTTCATTAATTTTATTCCCAAGTTCATTGAATTACCTTCCCGTGGTTTTTTTTGTAGCTCAATGATTTTCTTTACACCTGTTTTGAATTCTTTACCACTTAGATTGAAATATTATTTTTCTTTATGTAATACCACATTTCCTTGATTTTTCATAGTGTTTGATACATGCACTTCTTCTTTCACCTTTGAAGTAGCAGACACCTACCCCAGTCAAGAATTCATACTTACTTTGCTCCTTTCAAAAGTCTTTAAGTCTAGCAATTTCTATTGTGTGCCAGACATATAAAAGTTCTAGATCAAGGGTCAGCAAATTATAGCCTGAAGGCCAAATCTGGATAACTCTCTGCTTTGTTTCTTTTCTTTTTTTAAACCTACCTGTGAGTTAAGAATAGTTTTTACATTTTAAGTAGTTATGTAAATACCTATACAACCATTTAAAATATAATAGCCTCAATCTTGCATCATGACCCCCAAAGTCAAAATTATTTACTGTCTAGCCCTTTAAGAACCAGTTATTGATCTCTGCTCTTAGTGATGTTCTTTTGCAGCAAAGAAGGAGATGATCAGTGTGGTCATGAGTTAAGCCAAGCTGGTCCTGGGGTATGGTTTTTGTAAAGCTCAGTTCACCTGCCTGGCTGTGACTGAGAACATGGTGGACCTTTATCTCTGCCAATGACCACAGAGGCTCGGTTCTGTCCCTGTGGAGGTTTTACAGTTAGCTTCTTAGCTGCTTGCCCATCACATCTTCAAAATATTACATTATTATAGATAAAGAATGACTTTCAATAAGATAAAATTCCAACTCAATGGTAAAATAGAATAATCCTAAACTGTTTGCCCACAATAATACAGCTTCAAAGTATATAAAGTAAAAATTGACCAAGCTAGAAGGAGCATAAGATAAAGTCCACAATCATACTTGAGAATTGTAACACTCTTTTGTTAGTAACTAGTAGAGGAAATAGACAAAGTTTAATAGGACACGAATGTAAGATTTGAAAAACACAATGAACTTGCCAACTAATAGACACAGAAGATTATACTCAACAACTGCAGAACATTAAACACTCATCCAAACAGAAAATATGCAGGGGCATAAAACAAATCTCAGGACATATTAAATTATTAAAGTACCACAGAGTATCCTTTGACCACAGCAGAATTAAAAATCAATGACAGAAGAAGAAAAAGGTTTGATACCAGTTAGAGACAAAACAGTAGAGGATTTGAACATACCTCCTCTCATAAAAACACCAAAATCACAACCAACTGTTGAACAACCATCAACAAAAAAGACTACACCCTATGAGAAAATATATTCTATATCCAATGACAAGAAGCTACAACAAGATGGCAGGAGGGGCATTTTTGTGGTATAATCAAATCCCATACCTGCTGGAAAGAGAAAATAACTGTATCACAGAGGTTCTTCCATAGGAGTAACAGTTCTGAGCACCACGTCAGACTCCCCAGTCTGGGCATCTGGCACTGGGAGGAGAAACCCTCAGAAGAACATTTGTGTTTGAACGCCAGTGGGTCATGATCACAGGCACTTCACAGGACTGAGGCAAACAACACTCTTAGAAGGTACATACATACAAGGTCTCGTGTGCACTGGGCAGGGAAAAAGCAGTGACTTCATAGGAACCTGGTCCAGACCTACCTTCTGGCCTTGGAGAGCCTCCTGGGGTGAAAGATCTCCAAGGGATGGCTGTGGCTTGCTGTGGCTCACTGTGGGGACAGGACAATGGTGGCAGAAGTACTGGGGAGTACTCACTGATGTGAGCTCTGTTGGAGGCTGCCATTTTTCTCATCAAGACCTGGCCCCATTCAACAGCAGGTAGGTTCCAGTGTTGGGGTGCCTTAGGGACCCCCTGGTGGCTCGGAGGGTAAAAAGTCTGCCTGCAGTGTGGGAGACCTGAGGTCCATCCCTGGGTCGGGCAGACCCCCAGGAGAAGAAAATGGCAACCCACAAGTATTCTTACCTGGAAAATCCCATGGATGGAGGAGGAGCCTGGCAAGCTACAGTCCATAGAGTTGCAAAGAACTGGACAGGACTGAGCAACTTCACGTTCACTTTCAAACAACCAAAAGGGTGAGAATGTAGCTCTAGCCATCAGCAGATAGACTGCCTAAAGCCAACCTGAGCAAATCAGTCTGTGCAATTATTGTGTCAACAAACTGAAAAATAAAAGCTATGTGATCATCTTAATAGAATGTTTTATAAAATTCA